AAAAGCAGAGTCAGGGGTCAGTCCAAAGGTTGCAAGTCCGGTGTTGTGGTCGTGACATGTTGCTTCCACACTTCTGCAGGTCTCCTGGTCTGATTTATATAGGATTCCCTTAACAAGCCCTATTTGCAGTCATCTGCTTGGAAGTGCTTCTGTAGTTACACAGAGCTGTCATCAACAAGCAGCTGATGCCAAGTCAAGAGCCGAGCACTCTGGTCTACACATCTTTAGCTCTTGCCAGAGCCTTTGCCATTTGACAAGCAGGGTTGAGTCTGATGAGCTGCTTACAGGCAGCTGTGGTTCGTCGGCTGCTTCAGAGCTGAGCGTGGGTGGCTCAGGGTCAGCAGCTGTCACTGAACCTGGAGGCTCTTGCTCCTCTGGCTCCTTAACCTCAACTGGTCCAGGGCCAACTGCACACAGCTCCCCGACTCCTGAGGAGTCTTCGGCCACGCTAGACTCAGGCTGACCCACGGCACTTGCCTTGCTTGATACTATTGGCTTAGTTGCTCTGGTGTCACAAAGGGACTGACCTGTCTTGAACCGAGCAGCTGTTTGTTAATGGAATGCTTTCCAGTCTCGGAATGCGAGAGATGATGTCCATCAACATGTGTACGGGAAGCCAAACCCCCTTGTCCGGCTTACCTAGCAGGCAAGAGATGAATAGTCTTTGAGATATTTTTTCACTGATAACTCACTGAAAATGTCGAGACAGTGTGTGACTGCAATAAAGAAGGCCAATGCTATGCTGGGGATTATTAGGAAGGGTATTGAAAACAGATCAGCCAATATCATAATGCCCCTATATAAATCAATGGTGAGACCTCATTTGGAATACTGTGTGCAGTTCTGGGCACCACACCTTAAAAAAGATATTATAGCTTTGGAAAAAGTGCAGAAAAGGGCAACTCAAATGATAAAAGGGTTGGAACACTTTCCCTATGAGGAAAGGTTAAAGCGCTTAGGGCTCTTTAGCTTGGAGAAAAGACGACTGAGGGGTGACATGATCGAGGTTTATAAGATTATGCATGGGAAAGAGCAGGTAAAGAAAGAGGTACTTTTCTCCCTTTCTCACAATACAAGAACTCGTGGGCACTCCATGAAACTGCAGAGCGGTCGGGTTAGAACGGATAAAAGGAAGTACTTCTTCACCCAAAGAGTGATTAACACATGGAATTCACTGCCACAGGAAGTGGTGGCGGCTACAAGCATGGACGGCTTCAAAAGGGAATTAGATAAGCATATGGAGCAGAGGTCCATCAGTGGCTATTAGCCACAAGGTATAGCTAGGGGCTCTGGGGCAAGTGATGCTCTGTCTTCTTGGTGCTTGGGGGGGGTCAACAGTGGGAGGGCTTCTAATGTCCTGGCCCCACTGGTGGACCTCCTGATGGCACCTGGTATTTCTGGCCACTGTGTGACACAGAGTGTTGCTGGATGGGCCTTTGGCCTGGTCCAACATTGGCATCTCTTATGTTCTTATGTTCTTATGAGTCTTGCCGCTAATGTTTGAATGAGATCTGAAAATGGAGGGCACTGAGAGCAAAGCTAGAGAGAGGTCACTAGCTAATCATTTGCATTTCTTTCCCAGAATCCCATTCCCTCAAAATCAGCTCAGGTCTGCTCGCCCATCCAGAAACTGCGCGGAGAGCTGGTGTCTCTGGTATTGGGCCATGGGGCTGCCTGGTCTGAAGAACTGGAAAAAGATCTGCCTAGCTCCTGGCAGCGGCATGGGGACCTAGTCCTGCTGAGTGAGGACAGCTTCAGAGCGACGCTGTGGGGAGAGATGGGTAAATGGAAAATGTGGTACTTTGCCGGGCTGTTCTGGGCATCCTCCTGCCTTGGCAGACCCATCGAGGCTGGGCTCTCTTTCAGGACAAGAGCTCTGGGAGACGGTCGCTGGTGCGATGGGAGCCAAACGTCTAGGAAGGCGTGGCCGTGTACGGTCAGATTCCTTTCGATCACCCGCAGTCACCTTGTTGTTGGGGGAAGATGGCTGGGTTGAACACGTGGACAACGGAATCCGGTCAGTGCAAGATTCTGCCCCCTTCTTTATGCAGGGGCTGGGCTGCAAGTTACGCAGGAGATTGATTGGACTTTCTGATTCTTTTTCAGTTTTTTTTTTTTAAACCCTGAAATGCAGATGCAAGGGACGGCCAGTTTAATTAGAACGTATCTGTGCTTAATATTTTTTTTCTCTGTACTGTTTTCCCAGTCAAAATCATTTATTCCCTAAACTGCTGTTTGCCTGGGGGGGCGGGGTGTGTGGATTACAGTATCTTTTTTCTCTGTGGGAAAACAGCCTGGGGGCATTTATGTGATTCTGACTGAGAAAACTGCACCAGGAAGTGACCAAAGTTAGCAGCCCTCCCTTGCTACTCCAATCAAAACTGGTAATCCTCTGCTACTGCATTTAATTTGGGAGATAAGTGCACGGACCTTGGGCAAGCCATAGTTCTGGCACAGCTGTTCTTGAAAAAGAGCAGTTTCTGTCAGAGCTCTCTCAGCCCCACCTACCTCAGAGGGTGACTGTTGTGGGGAGGGGAAGGGAAAGGAGTTTGTAAGCCGCTCTGAGACTCCTTTGAGTAGTGAAGGGCAGGGTATAAATCCAATATCAATGATAAATCCAAAATCCAATGTCAGAGCTCTCTCAGCCCCACCTACCTCACAGGGTGTCTGTTGTGGGGAGGGGGAAGGGAAAGGAGTTTGTAAGCTGCTCTGAGACACCTTTGGGTAATGAAGGGCGGGATATAAATCCAATCTCTTCTTCTCTTCTTCTTCTTCAATATCTTCTCTTCTTCATCTTCATATCCCCTACCACCACTGCCACCCATGAACCTTCTACTGAGTCAGGTCATTGGCCCATCATTGTCAGGATTGTCTACTCTGACAGGCAGGGGCTCTCCAGGGTCTCAGGTTGGGGGTCTTCTGCATTACTGGCTATCTGCTCTTTTTAATGGGATTTGCCAGGAATTCAAGCAGGGACCTTCTGCACGCTCAGAAAATTCTCAGCCTCAGAGCCACAGCTCCACCTGTGTCCTTCGTTCATTTCACTCAGTTCAGAAATAGTATCTCTTAAGGTTCCTTCTTTGTTCTGTAGCTTAAGCCAAGGAAATGTGCCATGTTGAGGTAAACGTAGGCTCAGTGCCTGCTGGCTGATCAAAGTATGATACCTCTTCTACTGGATACTGGGAAGTAATTTTTGATATGCAAAATTTTGATATAGTTTTAAGGGTTGTGTACTTCGTTCATTTCACTCAGTTCAGAACTAATATCTCTTAAGGTTCCTTCTTCGTTCTGTGGCTTAAGCCAAGAAAATATGCCATGTTGAAGTAAAAGTAGGCTCAGTGGCTACTGGCTGATCAAAGTATGATACCTCTTCTCCTGGATACTGGGAAGTAATTTTTTTATATGCAAAATTTTGATATAGTTTTAAGGGCTGGGGAAAGGGGGCAGCTGTACTTCACACAACATGCTTACTAAGAAATAAATCCCACTGTACTCAATGGGGCTTACTTCCAAGTAAGCATGCCTAGGATTATTTATTTAAAAATATTTCGACTTCTCACTCTCAACGAAATATTCCTTAGTATTGAAGCTTTAGTTACTAGGGTCACAGCCTTAAGTTTTGAATGATCAAGGGTCTAGTTCTCATAGAGGCAGTAGACCCATGTTTGTTTCTTCACCCCTTCAGACTGCAGACCAGGCTGGCCTGACTCCTTAAAAACTCTTCCCTGCACATAGGAAACTGACATACCAGGGAGAAGACCGGTTCCATTCAGATCCCATCACTCCTAGCATAGCCAGAGGGCCAGAGGGGAAAACCTTTTTTCCCCAGTATAAAAGCTGGTTGGAGACGGGGGGGTTGCTCCTTTTTTCAAAGAATACTCAACATTATCCATTATTCGTGATTATTCTTATTCTTGTTTCGAATGCCTGAATCTGAAGAAGGGCCGGTCAAAAATAAGATATAAGCCTCCCGTTTACTCCAGAGATACTGCTATTGGTCCATTCGGATCCCATCACTCCCAGCATAGCCTTTTGGGTGGCCAGAGGGGAAAACCTTTTTTCCCAGTATAAAAGCTGGTTGGAGCCAACCCAGTTAATATTCTAGTTAAAGTAGTATTTGGGGGGGGGGGTTGCTCCTTTTTTCAAAGAATAGCATTATCCATTATTCGCAATTATTCTTATTATTGTTTCGAATGCCTGAATCTGAAGAAGGGCCGGTCAAAAATGAGATATAAGCCTCCTGTTTACTCCAGAGATACTGTTATTGAATATATTTCCGAAAGACTTTGATAAAGCAGATAGGTATTTGATAGTTCATATGTCGACAGCTGCAAGGATAGTATATGCCAAATATTGGAAAATAATGGAAATACCAACGAAACAAGAGTATGTGAACAAGCTATTTGAAACAGCGGAAAATGACAAACTGACTCTGGAGATGAGAGCCGGCACAGAATGGACTTTTCAAAAAACTTGGAAGAGATTCTATGATTGGTATAATGTAAACGTAATTGATGGATGAATGTAGTAATTTGAGAATGCAGAAAAGATAAGCTTAGTAAAATAGATAATGACTTCACTTGCCTACTTCTTCTCCTTCCTCTCTTTCAGGACTGGTGTGGTTTAGGGAGTGAAGTTTCTGACTATGATCAGAGAGACCCAGATTCAAATCCTCATTCTATCGTGAACCTGGCTGGGTGGCCGTAGGCCAATGACTCACTCTCTAGCTAACCGACTTAACAGGGTTGTTGTGAGAATAAAATGGGAGAAGAGGCCATGTGTGGTCCTTTTAAGTTCGTCTGAGGAAGGGGAATATAGGGATAAGCCACCGTAAGCCTCCTATTCTGGACGGTGGATACACCCACTCCAGCAGTCAGCAGTCCCCTTTTTATTTTTTGCAAGTGAAAGCTCTACATTTACAAGGCCTCGGCTTTCCGCTCTCGGGGTTCGCTTCGGCATGCACCCATATTCAAGTCAGTGATTCCAAACACAGCTTGAAATATAAATCAAATTTATTAAACTTAAGGTGTGTTGCAAAGCATAAACCACTCATTCACAGGGAAGAAGACAGAAAAATAAAGCTCACTGTTATTACATAAAATCTGCCTGACTGAAATTTTAGACTTTATAAAGGGAGCTGCGGTGGCTCAAGTGGTTAAGGCGCTGAACTGCAGGCTGTGGAAGGTCAGTAGTTCAGCAGTTCGAGACCCGAGTGCGCCGCATGACGGAGTGAGCTCCCGACTCTGACCCCCAGCTCCTGCCAACCTAGCAATTCGAAAGCAAGAAATTGCAAGTAGATAAATAGGTACCACTTCAGTGGGAAGGTAACAGCGTTCCGTGCGCCTTGGTGTTTAGTCATGCTGGCCACATGACCACGGAAACATCTTCGGACAGCGCTGGCTCTTCGGCTTTGAAACCGAATTTGACTGGCTTTCGAGCAAGGGAACCTTTACCTTTATCTTCAAGCATCTCTGAATGGCATTCCTTGGTCATCTGTTTTACCAATCCGATAGGATACAGGCCCTCTTCATGCTTAGCTGGTATAGCATGGAGACATCCCAAAGTGAAAAAGGGTACAGAGTAGCCATCCAGTGCACATTAAGAAACTGTCTTTTTTAGCAATCAGTGCATTGTCCAGCAACTCAATAGCCAGTCAGGGGCGAGCAGTTAATTAGTGTCTGCTGTGAGAAGAAAACTAGGAAGGAAGGATAGCGACTCTATAGACAGTCTCCCAAGGTCCAGTCTCCAAGGAACAGACACTGCTCACAGGTGTTACTAATCAGCAGAGGGAGCACTTCTAAATAGGCCAGAATCCCAACAACACTTATAGTTCTGAAGGAAGGTCTGGTCACCTCCATAGAACCTGGAGCCTAAATTATCAAGTTCCTTACAGGGAGATTTTAAAAAGTAATAATAACCATGGCTGTAAACCACGTCATTCTTAGCAGATAAGTAGATGCCCAAGCAGAAATGTCAGTGCTGGTGTGGTTCCACAGACAGGAAGCATTGTGGGCTGGTCTTGGGTGGAATTGGTTTCCCAGCACTTGCTGCTGGGTGGTTCTGGCTGATTGGGAACTTTCCCCTCCATCCTTCAGACCTTCTGTGTGGTGTAGTGGTTAAGAGCGGCAGACTCTAATCTGGAGAACTGGGTTTGTTTCCCCACTCCTTCACATGCAGCTGCTGGGTGACCTTGGACCAGTCACAGTTCTCACAGAGCTGTTTTCTCAGAGCTCTCTCAGCCCCACCTACCTCACAGGGGGTCTGTTGTGGAGAGAGGAAGGCGATTGTAAGCCGCTCTGCGAGCGAAGGGCGGGGTATAAATCGAACTCTTCTTCTTTTCTCTGGCCTTAGTGAGAAATCTCTTTTTCCAGTCCTTCCCCTGCACTGTTGAACAGCAGGACAAGCCCAAACGGTTGCTCCCAGAGCTTGCAGCCAGCCGCTTTCCCCTCCTTTGTCCTCAGGGATCGGCTATTTCACTCTGCCCTACCTGGTTCATGCCGGTGCTGCTTTCGTTCATGCTTGCGAGTGGAACCCCCATGCTGTGGAAGCCATGCAACAGAACCTGCAACTGAATGGTGTTCGGCATCGGTGCCGCATTCACCAGGGAGATAACCGGAAGGTAAGTGGTGAGGAAAGTGGTTTGAATGGGAAGTGGCCATCATTCCAGCACCAGGGCCAGGCTGGGAAGTCAAGGAGGCTTCCCCCCCCAAAGCAGCTTCCTGCAAAGACGCGTCGATCTTGCTCACTCCGCTTTCTTTCTTGCCTGGCAGTGCATCATCATTTCTTCCCCATTTCCCAGAATTTTAATTTCAAACTATGGGTACCTATCAGAGAGACAACGGCTACATGGCAAGCCGGGCTGACTCTATTAAGGAGGTGACCTGAGATGGTTTCCCCAAGTGGCAGGTGGGGGGGGGGAGTTTGGTGCCCTCCCGTCCTGACTGCCATCAGCTTCCTGCTGGCTAGTGCAGCTGACTGTCTCCCCTTGTTGTTGTTCGGTCGCACAGTCGAGTCCGACTCTTCACGACCCCATGGACCAGATCCCGCCAGGCCTTCCGGTCTTCCGCTTTCCTCTGAAGTTTGCTCAATTTCATGTTCGTTGCCTCCGTGACACTGTCTAACCATCTCATCCTTTGCCGTCCCCATCTTCTTTGACCTTCAATCTTTCCCAGCATCAGGGTCTTCTCCAGTGAGTGCTCCCTTCTCATTTGGTGGCCAAAGTATTTGAGCTTCAGTTTCATTATCTGGCCTTCCAGGGAACAGTCAGGGTTGATTTCTTCTAGGATTGACTGATTTGATCTTCTTGCAGTCCAAGGGACTCTCAAGAGTCTTCCCCTACCTGGGAACTAAAGGAGACCATTCTCCTCGCTCCCAGCCCCCCAAAGCCTTTTTAAAAATTGCACAGAACCTATACTGCTCAGTTCCCAAACTGAAGATTTGGCTACCATTTCTGTTTCCCAGAACAACCAAAATGGTAGCTGAACTCTTGTGAGAGAAAACAATCTTGCAAGAGTTCAGGAAGCCCCGGAGTTTGGTATGATCCGTTTCAAGAGGCTTAGAGCAGAAACAAGAGAAGGAGGATTCTATCCTTCCGGGGGTCAACTGCTGTGAAGGAGTTGGAAAGGGAGATGGGGGTATTCCTGCAGCCTCCGGCTCTGTCACAACTCGAGCCACTGTTGTGAGTTAGTCAGCCCAATACTATGTGCGTTCATTCAAGAGTTATTTCCACTTAATTTAGTGGGGCTTTCTCCCTGGCAAGTGTGCGTACGGCTGTAGCCTTAAGACCATTTGGGGCTATCTTTTTCTGTGTTCTGTACAGCTGTCCTTAGCTGGTGATTTGGAACCCACAAACAGTTTGGCACCTATTGTAAGGCACACACACACCCCTCCATGTTGTAAAAGTTTGAGATGAATGGTGTGTCCCAGATCTGAAAGATTTGATCAAACAGCATGTTGAGGCTTTTCCTCTGTTCTTTTTTCTTGTCTGATCTCATTCTCTCTCATGTCTGCAGCTGGAACTGCGAGATGTGGCCAACAGGGTGAATCTGGGACTCATCCCAACGTCGGAGGAAGGCTGGCCTGTTGCCTGCAGGGTCTTGCGAAAGGACGTGGGAGGGATCTTGCATATCCACCAGAATGTAGAGTCCTTTCCTGGGAAGGCCCTTCAGCCAGGACAGGATCTCCAGCTTCCGGTGTCCAAGAGTCAAGAGGACAAAGGGGTCCAGGGGGGGAAGGATACGGTATCAGGGGCTGGTAGGAGGGCCCTGTGCCCCACAGCCCACACGACGTGGCAGAAGTGGGCAGAGGATACAGGAACCCAGATCAGGACGTTGCTTCAGAAGTTGGATGGGAAGCCGTGGCAGACAAACGTCCTGCACATTGAACTTGTGAAATCCTATGCTCCCCATGTGCACCATATAGTGCTAGATCTGGACTGTCGCCCCCTTTCATAGCACCCAGGGGCAGCCCCAGAACGTCCTCTTCTCTTCACGGCAATGAACAAGCAAAGTCTCAGTGGAAACGAGGCCGTGCACAGGTGGCAGGCTCAAGGTCAATGAAAAGCTGGTATCGTTGGGACCTGACCTGAATGGGCCAGCCTAGCCCAGTCCCATCGGATCACAGAAGCTAAGCAGGGTCAGCCCCGGGCTGTGCTTTGATGGGAGACCACCAAGGAAGTCCAGGATCGCCATGCAGAGGCAGGCGACGGCAAACCACCTCTTGTCCTTGCCTTGAAAACCCTAAGTGGTTGCCGCAGGTCGGCTGTGACTTGGCAGCACTTTACACACGCACAGTTTGGACAGGGTCAACCTTCCGCAGCCTTTGGAGCTGCCAGAGGAAGAGGTCAGTTGTGATTTTGGCCTTCTGAGCCTGCTTACCTGTTGGCTGGAACAGGAACAAATCGATACATTCATTCAGTTCACTGTATCCAGCATGCTCAAGTTCCTACAAGCCAGGCTTCAGCAGTACGTGGATAGAGAACGGCCAGAAATACAAGCTGGGTTTCGAAGTGGCAGAGGAACTAGAGATCAAATTGCCAACATTTGCTGGATTATGGAGAAAGCAAGGGAGTACCAGAAAAACATCTACTTCTGCTTCATTGACTGTGTGAATCACAACAAACTATGGCAGGTCCTTAAAGAGATGGGAGTACCAGACCACCTCACATGTCTCTTGAGAAACCTGTATAAGGGTCAAGAAGCAGCAGTTAGAACCGGATATGGAACAACTGATTGGTTTATCATAGGGAAGGGGAAGGGGAGGGACCTCAGTGGGGTGTCATGCCATACAATCCACCTTCCACAGCAGCCATTTTCTCCAGGGGAACTGAACTGTGTCCTCTGGAGATCAGTTGTAATTCTGGGATGTTTCCAGCCACCACCTGGAGGTTGGCAACCCCAGCAGGACAGAGGGAGGGGGAAGACAGTACTGATGACAGTCTGGGTGCCAGCGAACACAAGGAAATGTCCTGTGATTCACATAATCCTGTATAAAAAGCCCCAAGGCATTAATTATGAATAAGTTTTTGTATTGTTCAAATAAATAACACTGCCTAATGGCTTCTCGGTTCCTTTCCAAAACACCTTTCCAATTCAATTAAAGTTGACTTGAAATAGACCCCAGATTCAGTATTCTGTGTGGACAATCTTGGCCCTTCACGTGGTGCTGTTTCCATATGTGAGAATCCAGCATGGTATCGAGGTTGATGCCAGGAGGCCCAGATTCAAGTTCCCCCTCAGCGATGAAGCTCACGGGGTGACCTTTCGGCCTTGTCATGCTGTGGCCTAACCAATGTTCCCTCTAAGTTGTGGAGTCTCGTGAGCAAAAATCCTACCTTGTGAGCAACTGGCATTAAAGTTGTGAGTGAGCAATTTGGCTACTGCATAAATTAGTTTGCTCTGGGGCCGCCTTTCCTGAGCTATGACAAAAATGTGTGAGCTGGAGGCTAAAAAACCGTGAGCCAGCTCACACTAACTCAGCTTAGAGGGAACACTGGGCCTAACCAACCTCACAGGTGGGTTGTGACGATCAACTAGGATGCGGCGGGGGAAAGGAACTGAGCTGGTTGAAAGAAGGGTAAGATAAAACCGTAATAGATAAATGTGTGCAGCTGTTGCCTTGGTTGGAAGCAGGCCCAAAGCAGGAATTATTGGACAAGAGGAAAGCAGGGGGAACACATTCCCTTTCCCAGAGGAGTCCATGCCTTCATCCTGAATTGTTTGTGTGGAGGTATATTTAAGAGTACAACCTACTTTACTCTTTCCCATGACGCCTCTGTGTACCATAGAGTGAAGACAAAAGTTGCTCTGGACAGCTGAGCAGAGAAGGCCTCTTACTCTACCTTCCCAGAACTTCACTGGACTTGATACTCCCTTGTGGAGGGTAAAAGAGCGAATTCCTGTACGTACAAAAAAATGTGTAGAGAGAGCAGGGGTATGCTCTCCTGAGGACCAAAAGGCGGCAATTCTACTCTCATTTTTATTACTCCCTTCCTTCAAGGAGCTTAGGATAGCATTCATGTGCCTCTTCCCCATTTTATCCTCACCACAACCCTGTGCCATAAACTAGCCTGAGGAATAGTGGATGTCCTACAGTCATCCTGTGAGGTGCATCGCTGTTTAGGATTTGAACCTCGGTCTCCCAACCTAAATAATAAATAAATAAGAACCTAAACAGCATGATAAAAGGTAGAGACATCCCCCTGCCAACAAAAGTCTGCATGGTCAAAGCAATGGTATTCCCAGTAGTCATGTATGGCTGCGAGAGTTGGACTATAAGGAAGGCCGAGCGCAGAAGAATAGATTCTTTTGAACTATGGTGCTGGAGAAGACTCTTGAGAGTCCCTTGGACTGCAAGAAGATCAAATCAGTCAATCCTCAAAGAAATCAACCCTGACTGTTCCCTGGAAGGCCAGATAATGAAACTGAAGCTCAAATACTTTGGCCACCAAATGAGAAGGGAGCACTCACTGGAGAAGACCCTGATGCTGGGAAAGATTGAAGATCAAAGAAGATGGGGACGGCAAAGGATGAGATGGTTAGACAGTGTCATGCAACGAACATGAAATTGAGCCAACTTCAGAGGACGGCGGAAGACAGGAGGGCCTGGCGGGAGCTGGTCCATGGGGTCGCGAAGAATCGGACTCGACTGTGCGACTGAACAACAACAACTCCCAACTCTGACCCAACACTGACTGCTGCACTGCACTGCACTGCTCCTTGCTCTCTTCTAATGTTTGCAGAAAGGGCTCCTATCCTGTTGGCCTTTGGCGATGGGACTACAGTTCCTGGTTGAGCATAAGAGGCTTTCAAGACTGTGGCTCAGTCTGGGATGCACAGACTATGCCCTTTGCCTTAATCTAACCTTCCCCTGCTTCAGGAGTACAATGGGTGTTGCAAACTCCCAGCTTGGGCGGCTCCGCGGTGGAACTTTCGGCCTGTCCTCTCTGTTATCATTGCCCAGAGATAGAGCCCTAAGCAAATGGAAGGTGAGTCATGGTTGGCCAGCGTTCTGTTTGTTCTGGACACCACCTCCCAGCTTCAGAGGATGTGTTAGCCGAGTCTCAAAACCAGACCTGAGAAGAAGCAGATGCCAAGGGGAAGATCAGGAGCGCAAGCAAAGAGACAGACGGAGGGGGAGGAGACTTGGAAGTCCTCCTCGGCAAAAAAGTATAAAGCAGGTTTTGGGCTATTCTCAGGCCTGGACCCCACCTACATAATCTCCTGCTGGGTTTTGTGTGTATTCATGGGGAGGAGTTCCTGCCTTGCCGGTGATGCTGTGCAAATATGCTACCTGTATGCACCTTGGAGCAGGCCAGCCCACCTTTGCTTTGCTCCTGTGAGGCTGAGTTTGACACAGTTAGTGCTGTATGTCTTTTTACATGCACAGTATTCTCATGTTGTTTTTCAGCTGCAAAAGCACCCGAAGTAGTTCATGATAACGAAGCAGCAATTGACAATTCAGGCAAGGCACTGATGAATTTAGAACTGCAATTGGCCATTACAAAAGGAGAAGAGAAGAGATTGGATTTATACCCCACCCTTCACTACCCGAAGGTGTCTCAGAGCAGCTTACAAACTCCTTTCCCTTCCCCTCCCCACAACAGACACCCTGTGAGGTAGGTGGGGCTGAGAGAGCTCTTGACAGAAACTGCTCTTTTTCAAGAACAGCTCTTATCAGAACTACGGCTTGCCCAAGGTCGTCCAGCCAGGTGCAAGTGGAGGAGTGGGGAATCAAACCCAGTTCTCCCAGATTAAAGTCTGCACACTTAACCACTACACCAAACTGGCTCTCCTACACCACTACACCAAACGAGTACAATGGCGATTAAGACAACAGTATGACATCAGAGCTATACAATAGTTGAGGAAAATCTGAACAGAAAAGGCAAAATGAAGTTGTTGGGGCTTTATTCTCCTCTACAGGGCCAGTTACAGGTTTTGCAGTGGGCCTGGGCTGACAGTGCCTGCGTTCCTTTGCCTGCCACTGGACTGGCCCCCCCCCCCCCCCCCCCCCCTTCCCCCCCCTCCGTGTGGGGGTTTGTAAAATTCTACTTCGTGAGCTGCTGGCATTAAAGTGAGCGAGTGATTTGGCTGCTGCATAAATGTGTTTGTTCTGGAGCCATCCTTCCTGAGCTATGACAAAAATGTGTGAGCCAGAAGCTAAAAAACTGTGAGCTAGCTCACACTAACTCAGCTTAGAGGGAACACTGCGCACCCACCCACATGCCCATTCCCCACTACTTGCCTGTGCTTCCTTCCCCACCAGTTTGTTGGCTTGTAAGCCTTCCCAACACCTGTGCTACCATATGCTTGTCCTTCTCACACACCCTTTTCACTTACAAAGTTTGAGTCCAGTGGCACCTTTAAGACCAACAAGATTTTATTCCTGGTACAAGCTTTTGTGTGCATGCACACTTCTTCAGATACATTGAAACAGGTTTACCAAGCATTACCTATAGCGTGAGGGTGGGTTGTTGCCAGGAAGGGCCACCTAGAGTCAAGATGCATAAGTAGCTGAGCAATTATAGCTAAGAAGACTGGATTAAAGCAGTTGGTTTAAAAAAACAAACAAACCCTGGAGCTGCGGTGGCTCAAGTGGTTAAGATGCTGAACTGCAGTTCAGGAAGAACGGCTCCAGAGCAAACTAATTCACGCAGCAGCCAAATCAGTTGCTCACAGCTTTGATGCCAGTAGCTCACAAAGTAGAACTTTTGCTCACAAGATTCCACAGCTTAGAGGGAACATTGGCTAAGTCTGGATTAAAGCAGTTGGTTAAAAAAAAAAAAAATCAATCCCTGGAGCGGCGGGGGCTCAAGGGGTTAAGATGCTGAACTGCAGGCAGTTTGAGACCCGGGTGCCACATGATGGAGTGAGCTCCCATCTCTAGTTCCAGCTCCTGCCAACCTAGCAGTTCGAAAGCAAGAAATTGCAAGTAAATAAATAGGTACCACTTTGGTGGGAAGGTAACAGCGTTCCGTGCGCCTTGGTGTTTAGTCATGCTG